AGGTAAGGGTAGGATATATATATTATATATATATATATATATATATATATATCTTTGTACATCTTTGCTATTCTTTTGATAATATTTCCTTCCTTACTAATATAGAAAGTACCATTTGATGATATTTAATGAGGTTGCAGTTGGTCGTCTTACGTTGGAAACCACTTTCGATGAGTCTGATTCACCACAGAGTCGTTTTGTACGCAGTCCGCCCTTTGTATCATCAACGCTACCTTATCGTCAGTGCTTGTTTCTTGCTTTTTTCTAGTATTTTTTTCGTAGTTTTGGAAAGTGTGTATAACGGTAATGTGAGCACTATTGATAAGCGGCGTAGGGTAACTACCAGATTCCTGACGTTTTTATCATTTTGGATGAAAATTTTCCCGAATTTAGCATAGAGATAATGGATTTCACTTCCTGAATAAGTTGATATAATATCATAATTAATGTACAAAACGTGCCGTTTTGCGGAAATAATCTTTCCAAGTTACTTTTAAGAGTGCAATTGAATTATTTACATATATATATATGTATATATATATATATATATATATATATACATATGTATATATATATATATATATATATATAATTGCATGAATTTACACCTTGCATGATTTTTTCCTCTTAGTAAGCGAAAATGTGAATAATTCGAAATATTTTAACGGTATTAGAATTTACACTTGCTGTATTTTGGAACAAAAGAAAAGGATTCAGGAATTCTAAAGAGTTATGATGCTCATCAATATTCAGCAAAACTGAAGAGGAACTTGAAGGAGAAAGTTATTCGAACTAATCTCTCTGATGTAAATAGGACAGGATTGAAAATCTGATTAGACCAATTGTCTCATATCCTGCGCTGGTTGTAGATATTATTTGTTTTGTGAGCGCATGGTTGTTTGTTTTTATTTTGGGTCACTCGTCACTCGGTTATTCGCCTGATGATGAAGCGGTTCAGCAGGAGCGGCCAAAGACGTTACCATCAGGAGCAAAGTTCGCACGTAGTAAATCGGATCGTTTTGCTTCATTGCGTAAAAATTTGTTTACCAAAAGTATGTTTTTTTTCGGGTTCCTTTCTTTATTTCTTCTCTGGATGATCTAAAACATTCTTTGCACTCAATATTATCAGATGTGCTACTTATATCCAAACCAAGTGCTTTTGTATCTACTTGGTCATTTTGTACACTCGATATCTATACACATATTTGCATGTCCTTCCTGAATTTTACATCACCTTCACTTCACCTGCGATCTTAAATAATCCTGAATAATATTCCTTGAATTTTGGAATTACATAAACATATGTTATATAATCTTCATACCACTGCAGCATAATGCTGCCGATCAGCAAATATTGTTGGACTTTCAGGAAATGATACTGCAGTACGAAATTCAGAAATGGCACTGTCTGATGACGAGGTGAGGTGTTGTATTTTGAAAACAAAGTAAAGCGCATCATGTCATGAATACGGGTCACTTCATACATATGAGAACGAATGTAGCAGGAATTTGTTGTAGGGGCTACTAATTTCATCGTCTATGATAATTATATATTTAGCCAAATCTAGACCTCAGCCATACAGTATATGATGAGCAAATTAATTTTAGCGGCATTTTATGTCAAGTAAACGATGATGAGGTATCATGATGTTAAGTCATATTTTGCAGCTGAATCAATCGAAAGAGAGTAAAAAGAAGAAAAGGGGTTTATTCTCGTTCGGGAGGAAAAAGAAGTGAATTTTTAAAAAATGCTCTTGGATCTGCATTTCGTCTTTTACACTGGTATTGTTAATGCTCACTGCTTTATCAGCTTTTTTTCTTAAATTTAAGGAGATTTAATGATGTTGATTTCATACTTCTCCTTTGCGTATACACACTTCCATTATTCGAAGCATTTTAATACATTGTTATGTGTTTCTTTTTACTATCGTTTTCTTACTAATATTCCGCAGAACGGTATATGTTTCCAAAAAATTTATGCATAAGATTTTGAATCTTATTTTGGACGTTCATACCACAATCACAAAGATCACATTGGTGGAAATGAACTTACGGCACGTAGACTGAAACTTAAATGACCATTCTAGAGTTTTTCAGTATTGACCGTATCTAACATTTCTATTATTTAACGTTTTTAGAAATACCTGACTTCATTATAGTTTCGTTTTCTAAGTGACATTAGCAGTATATGATATTTAAATTGAACCAATAGCTGTTACGATCTTTATGTATTTTAGGCACATACTGTAGTGGTCATTGGTCTACAACTGTATGACTATTCCTGGAAGTAAGCGGTCGTTTTTTCCTGCTCGATTACAGAATACATGTTTACGATGTTTGGAACAGACAAAAAAAAAAAAAAAAGGAAAAAAAAAACCAATTGTTACATATTTACGGATAGGCAGTCAGTATAGGATGTCGATTTTATTTCTGCTGATATATCTAACTTATCAAACCCGAGTTTCAAGTGCTCTACTGTGGAAACGTCACGAAAGTTGCTCCTATTTTAACTGATTGTCTGTTCATTGTTCCTTGTATTTTCATCTCTCTTTCTGCTTATTATTGACTCAGAAAGATTCATTTTTCTTTTTTGCGCAAGTTCTGGTCTCTTTTTTCTTCTTAAGGCATTTACCCGTGTTACATTATTGCTTGGGAATGCTTCTTTACCGGTGTCCAGGATTACATTCCCTTTGCAAATGCTTTTTTTTTCTATTACCATCCTACCATTGGCTGTTCATTTGATTGGTTTTTGTTGGTTTTTTTTATTCAAAATCTTTTTCTCATTTCGGGATAATTATTCCTGGACATCTAAAATTTACTGTATTGTTTTAGCCAGAAAATGCAATATGAACACAGTTAAGTTCGTGTAGTTGATATTTGCTTCAGCTATTTGTTAGCTTAATAATAGATTAGTTGCGGTTTATCTGGTCCATCTTTCGTATTTGAATTCATATCCATATACTCCACATCTAACTGACGTGATATGAAACAAACTTTGATTAGGAAGACCTGAAATGATGCCATATATTGTTCCATTTACGATCATTCCAGTATACATCGTTTTCGTTTCAGGCCGGTGGATTTGTACTATTCTGTTTTTTATGCTGTCTCGGTGAAATTTAATCTAATTTTCAATTTTATGCTAATTTCCGAACAGGCAACACTTTTTTGTTTTTTCTTGTTTTAGCATCTCGCTGTTTCTTTCATCATCCTACCATGTCATTAAATGCTTGATATAGAAATGCATGCGTCAGTTACACTCTCATCGCTGTCATTTCTGTTCCATCCATAAATATTTTCCAATTTTTCTTTTTCATTGTTTTCTGAATATTTATGAATGTTTGCCTACCGCTTTGCTCGGATTTTGAAGCAGTTTGGATTTCGTATTCTTTCTGTTCTGGTTCTCATTTAACAAAAATCCACACCATATTACGGGTCCTGAAGTTTTATTTACTGATTCTTGGGGTATCGGTTTGACATATGGAAATTAGAATCGTATTCTTGAATATGATTTATTTTATTTAACTTTTTTATCTTTAAATCCTGCTTTTCTTTCTTAAACATTATCCTAAAGTGTTGGAAACTTGGCTTTGTGATGACTGTTTCAATTAGAACTGCCGGTGATTTTTATTCTTTTAACATAGCTGAAACTTACTCCCATACGCGAAAATTTGAATGTGTGAAAATGCTAAAACACATTTTGAAATATGGGAGTAATGACGCACTTTTTATGGTTCAGTTTTGCGGAACTTTATTGTGGTACTTTCCTTTAAAAAGAAATTGTTTAATTTGTTACGCTGGTTGAATGATAGGCAAGAATTTCGTTGCGATAGTTTGCTGTCTATTTCCTTCTTCGATTTGTTTCTTTAATACGAATTTTTGAATTGGGAGACGAAAGATTATAAAAAATGTTTGTAAGAGAGAAATTTTCTTTTTTTTTTTTTTTTTTTGATATCCGTTGATGATGCTAAATTGATTGGAAACATAAATTTTACATGCTGTGTTCTGTATTAGATTTCTGAAAAAGAAAAATTGAAGAAAAAGGAAATTTTTGTAAACTGTTAGATTGGGAAGCTGCACTCACTGGTATCGGTTTATTTTTTTTCCTTGTTTTCTATCGCAAAGTTGTTTAACTGTTCTCGCTTATTAAAGATGATTAGTTTATAAAAATGGTGTACGCAGAAGAGGTTAAAGTTCGCTGCGTCGAAAGCATCCGCTTGCTTGTATAACGTGATCAAGACAGCATAACACTGCAATATATCCTGGGAAATTCGTTTGGAGTGTTTAAGTTACACTTGATTAATTAGATTATGGAGCTAGATATGATAATATTCCGGGTGCAAAAGATCTTGTTTAATTCTGGAGAAGTTAATTAATTCAAGTATGTGTCAATTTCATACGGTACGATGGCGTGAATATGAAAGTATAATGAATGATTTAGGGAATATTCGCATGTTAAAGTGTGGAACGTATGAGTGGCAGTAATATACCTCTGGAAGGTCGTACTCGTTTACCTGGCAAAATACAGGATTGCATCCAGGATTGCGGTCTGATTGTTTCGCATATAAGGACTGCATCTCATTCAAATGAGGCTTGTATTGTGTCATACTTATTAAGGAATTCGTAAATTTTCTTCCCATTCATAAAGTGATCAGAATACGTCAATTTTAAACATACTTAAAACTGGAAATATTTGCCAGATCAGATCAGTGGAATAAAATTACGATTTTATTAATGCTATTCATGATAGCAGATTGATTTCTTTCAAAATTTCGCAAACGCACTTTGTAATCCTTAATTTTATACTGTCCTGTACACACTCTCTTCCGTTTATCCTTTTGATGGGTATCTGGAAGATGATTGATAAGATGATAGTTAGGTGCATCAGATCCTTAGTATCATGGATAATTTCAAATTTTTGAAAAATTTTCTGAAAGCATTTGTAAACGTTTTGTTTCAGCTTCTTGGGATGGCTATCAAGAATTTCGCCTCTTTAGATTCAATAATTGAGCAGTCATCTAAGGTAAATGGTTTAATTGGCATTATATTTTAGGATTGATTTTTTGCATTTCCCCAATGGCTAAATTAACATTTGATATTTGATGTGTTATTTTGCATTTTCTTACTATAAGGAAAATTTTATCTTCCTTTTTCCCGTTGATATTCACAGCAGTAAATAGAAATCATTAACATAAGCAAAACAATGCTGAAAAACTGATTTCATGTAAATCAAATCAGTAGGCTGATAATAGCGAAAAGTATGGAAGTCCGAAATTGCCATCTTAGAAGTAAAAATTGTCATTTTAAACGATTTCTTTGGATGTAATTTTTAGAATTTGTGGAAGTTGGATGCTTTATTGAGTACGATAGATATCCCGTAAGTGTTTTTTCTCAGTTCTGACATCATTCATCATTTTAATATTTTCGATTATTAGGCGAATTAGACTTTTGAACTCTCCATTGTACAGCAATAGATTTGCAGCATTGTTTTCATTTTTCTTTTGCTCAGTTTTCAGTTTCAAAAAAGAAAAAGACTCAGAATCTCAAATATTTGAATTATACGTCTTAATCCATCGGTTGACCTTCTTCATAAAAGTGGCAAAAATTGCCTCTTTTTTTCCGTTTCCATCCTCACAATATTACTGTTTCAGGTATATACCAGTGAGCAGTAAATGAATTTAGTGGCAGCGCAGAGTACTGAATTATTTGAATTAACCTGCGGTATTAATCGTATCTCATTAATTTCTAATTGTAAATGAACAGCTGTTTATTTCTATCTTTATTAATGAACTTTTTCCTTTTACGACATTTCTTACTGTCATTAATTAATCCTAAGTTTTTTTTTCAATAAATTATTAGTTGGGATTAAACTAATGGAAGCCTGTGCAATGAATGAAGTTGACCTCTGAACCTTCTGAACAGTGAAGTTCTTTTCTTCACTCGATTATGTTCAACCACCTCAGTTAATTTTGAGATATGTAAAAATAATTGTGGTGATGAAAATGAATGTTTGGTGAGATTTTCGATGTATCTATGTTTAATGACCTTTCTTTTTCTATAACAATGAAGTAATTGAGACTGATCTTAGTTAAACACTGAAAACTATCATATCATCGTTGTGGTTAGCTGTAATGATGTTTGAAATTTCTATTTCCCTTGATGTCCCAAATCAGCAGCAGGATATTTGTCGTTCATCAAATCTTGATGTTAGTGATGGTTAAACGAACTCATAATCGCACGAACATCAGCAAGTTTTTAAAGTTAAGCGGGTTAATGGGTGATGAAAAAATTCACCAATCAGTACGGTTTTTTTTTTTTTTTTTCGATAATCAATAACATCCTTTCTAATCTTTCTTGTAAGTTTATGAACATGGAAACCTTATTCTCAGTTCTTGTATAAAATTTTAATTTAGAACGAATCGAATTTTTACGCTTCACGGTCAGTCGGCTATCCGTGATAGGTCATTGATGATTTTGCTTTCCTATTGAAGTTTACAATTTAATGTACTTTATACCAAAAATTGCAGATCATAATTTAGCAAAAGATCAGTCACCCTAACTAGTACTTGTATTATTTTTTAGTCTTGAAAGAGTCTGTGTTAAGGAAATAATATTTAAAACTTAATGCATCATTGGGAAAGTATTCCTAAATGTATTAGATTGCATATTTTCATAGGAATCTAATATTATTTGGAAAAGTTAGGTAAAACAATAAAATTAACTTTTAAATCAATTCCTAAATTATCTTTTCTTGTGGTATATTCTAATCAATTTTTTTCTTTGGTATGTGACACTTCAAATTCGTTTCACTTTTTTAAAACTTTCAAGTTTTATTTGATTTTTATAAATTATTTGTCATTATAATGCAAACATACAAATCGATGCTTTCTTTTTTTTTTTTCTTAAATATGAATATACATTATTGTGAACAAACGATCTTTATCAAACAATTTCCGCTTTTTAATATTTGCTGATGACTTTCAGTTAGCTCATGCTGCATAGTATATATTGGCTAAAGCTTATGCAAAAAAAAAAAAAAACAACTGTTTTAGGAAATTTTGATCAATTGAAAACAAAAAAGTAAATTGTTAGTTATTATTACAACTGAATAAATATTTGTTTATACAATTCCAGAATTTGGTATAAGTGAATTTAGCAAATTTCATTAGGAATTCAGAATTCCCAGACACATTTACATATTTCATTACTATTATAACTTGAAAGACAAATGAAATTAACACTATACAAAAATGAGAACAAAAATAAGTATATACAGATAATTTTTTCAATTTATTTAAAAATGTGAAAACATATGAAATATGAATTCCATAGCTTATTAAATAACCATTCAAAGATGTCCCCAAATTAAAGTATGAATGAAATCAAAGGCAATAATAAGGATATTGGAGAATTTTGGAGTACAATAGAAACAAAATTTAAACGAAATTTTCTACAAAATAATAAAAAACAAATGGGAATGCGTTTTACATCAACATTATGTACATATTAAATAATTCTTTTCTTTTTTTTTTTGTTATCACGATTTAATCGTTATACTATTAAAATAATTTTCTAATAAATTACATCAAATTCTATGATACTATAATTACTCTGATAACTTAAATTATCATCCACATATAAGTAATTATTATCATATCGTGTATCATTATCATCATCATCCCATTTGCATATTTCATTATACAATTGATGCGGTGTTGTACGTTTAGTACTATGAATTTCTAATTGCGAATTAATCATCCTAGCAATATTTTGATCAATATCAAAAGATAATTCTGGTTTATCATATGCATCATAGTTATCACAAGCAACGAATAAAAACATTCGGCATAATTCTTGTTCATCAAATGGAACCTATTAAAAAAAAAAACTCCAATTTTAAAAGGAAAAAAAATGCAAAAGTGAATGTTTCCATTAAAATAATTAGTTTAAATACTTTTTTTTTGAAAATTTTTATTCAATTATAAAATTTATTCAATTATAAAATTTATAATTTTTATTCAATTATAAAATTTGGAAAAATTTAACTATTAATATTATAAATTAATAATAATGCTAAATTTTATACCTTTCCCATGATACATTGATAAAAGACACATCCAAGACTCCATACATCAACTTCATGACCATACTCATATGTTCGTAAAATATTTGCACCTACTTCAGGTGCCATATAATATAATGTACCAGCAACATTTGATAATGATTTTTGCCCGTCATCATTAAGAATTCGTGATATTCCAAAATCGGAAATTTTTGCTATTTCAATTAAATTTTGCTCCTTGTATTTGATTAAGATATTTTGTGGTTTAATATCACGATGTACGATGCAACATTGATAAAGTTCATTGTATCCACGAATAACATTGTCTATTAATCGTCTAAAATTGCATAAAATGTATTTGAAGATAGAAATTTGGAATAAAATTCATTTCTTAACAAATTATTATTTGATTCAATTATCTATCAATCAATAAATTATTTCAAAATTTTGTAAATCTTGAAGAACAAAGAAAAAAAAAATATTAAATTTTTACCTTAAATTATGTAATGATAATGTACCATTAACAGTATGATATTTAAGATGATGATCTAAATCAATATCACATAATTCCATAATAATATACATATTATCTTCCTCGCTTATCATACAATGATCAATGAGGCTAACCAAATAATCACTTTTTACTGCTTCCATTACTTTTAATTCATCCGATTTTATGCTTACTTTAGGCATCTTTTTAATTGCTACCGATTTACCAGTATTACTTTCTATACCACGATAAACAAAGCCAAATGAACCATTTCCGATATATGATGTTAAACAATCACTGAAATTAGAATATTTTTTAGATTTTCTGAAAATAAATTTAAATCAACCATTTTTTTTCTTTTTTTTTTTTTAAACTTGAAAAAATCCT